TACGCTAAAGTTTTTTTTGTTTTTTCAGAAATCCTGTAGTGTTAGTGGGCCAAATTTTTCGCTAACAGTAACTTTTGTGTAGCATAGCTTAAAAAAGCTAACACTACGCTGCACTAACACTACGGTTAGCGTGGCTGGCCCACCATTGTACCTACAGGCCAGCTAAAATCACTCTTTCTTGTCTGCCCTGGAGCTAAATTCCCTCACATTTGTCTATAAAAGAAGACTCTTTTCTGCAAAATCACAGACATGTCACTGGTCTATTACCCAAAGACATTCTCAATCCTCCTTTCTCTCCCGACTCTCATTCTTCAACCTCAACACTTCCATCTGGATCACTCTTCAGCTCCTTGACTCACTCCATCCTTCTCAATTTCCCTTATATTCATTCCTCTATTCTTTTCTTCATTCAATCCATTCACCCTCGATTCTTGTCTTCTCTTATTCTCTGCCTGGTGAGATTTGTCTTATTCCTTCTCTCATATCAGCTTCTTCTCAACTGACTCTAGCCTATCAGTTCTGTCCAATTGTTACTCTTCCATTCCCTTCTCATCGCCTGTGCTTCTTCACAAATGATCTGCTCAATCAATGTTGGTTTTCATCTTTCACTCTCTCTCTCTCATGTGCTGCGCTTTTTCTCATTATTCTTTGTTTCTAGTGTGTCGGCTCTTTTTCGTAATCAATCACAGATTCTAAATCTTTTACGGTTAAAAGCCTACGACCAATCAATTCATGTCAAACGGAGCCGACGCATCGGAGCAACGATCGCTTGAGGAAACTCATTCACGCACAACAACGATGGCGTCTACATTGAACAACAATGGCTTTCGCCAAGCGATGTTAAAGACTGCTCTGGAAACTATCCCGCAGTTAACGGAAGAGAACTATTCAATCTGGAAAGACAAAATGACGGCGCTGCTCGAGCTGCGGGGGGTACTCGCTTCACTAGACAAAGAAGACGAACCAGCTCTAGCAAGCGACATCAATGCAGAACTAAAACTGCTTCTGATTTCGAAGATGGACAGCGTAACTCACAACAACATAGTTACAGCAGACAATAGAGGCTCGGCGAAGTTACTCTGGAAAGCTATTAAGGATTGTTTTGCCTCTTCTCAATCTTCAAACAGAGCTCGCATCTTCAACAAGTTTCTATACGTCAAATTCAAGGAAGAAGCGATCGAGGCTTTCGTGACGGATACCAAGGTCTCTATCAAAAAACTTGTCGATGTAGGGATCGATCTTCCTCAAGACATTCTCGCATACCTGATCTTATTCAAGTTCCCCGACTCGTTGCAACTCTTAAAACACCAAATCATGCACTCCAACAAAGAATTAACTGTCGAATTCGTGTGCAATCACCTCACACAATTCAACAACAAGAACAAAGCTGAGGTCAAAGATGCCGTGCCTTCAAATCAAGCCGCTCTCGTGTCAACAAAACCCAAACGCTCCAATCGCTCTAACGGAAACGAGAAGAATTCTAGCAACTCATCCAATGCTACATCAAATAACTCCGGTCCCAAACGATGCACTGACGGATTTCACAACCCAAAGCAAGACGGTAACCACTCTGCCGATTCCTGCTGGCATCTACATCCAGAAAAGGCACCAGAGTGGTGGCAAGAAGCTCAAGCGAAATGGAAGGCGGAGAAGAACGTGAACTACTACATGTCTCTGATTACTCTGTGGATCGAGAATGGAGATCCCAACTCTAAAATTATCCTAGACAGTGGAGCGTCAGCCCACATCTTCAACGACAAGCGATTCTTCGACAAACTTGAACTCAAAGACTGTGTGGCATCCGAACCGGCAAGCAAAATGCGACCCTCCCAATCAAGGGAACGGGAAACGTCACACTCAAATGGGGACGGCTGACTATCTCGTTAGAAAACTGCTTGTTTGTGCCTGACATTGTGGTTAATCTCATCAGTGCTGGAGCTTTAGTCGAAAAGGGATGCAACCTCTCTGCGAACTCAGGCAGTTTCTCAGTTTCTAAAGAGAACCAAAAGCTTTTCAAAGGAAAGATTGTAAACAATCTATTCAGCGTCGATAATCCGGAATCAGTTGGTCAATCGGTTGACTACTCAGCTCATTTCACATCCTCTTCTGAATCCTTGAAGGACATACATGAAAAATTCGGTCATGCATCAATCCAGAGGATCAAGGAATTCATTCCAGATTCGATATCCAAGTCCGAACTGTAATGATGGCACAACTTGCGCACGAAACCTGATGATGATAATAATTATGAGTCTGAGTTGTTTGCCAATAACAACGAAGACACCTTAGATCACACACACCTGATGATGATAATAATTATGAGTCTGAGTTGTTTGCCAATAACAACGAAGACACCTTAGATCACACACACCTGCACGAGCGTAGCGAGTGATTTAGTTTAGGAATAAATTTTTATGTTGGAAGGACACGCGAGAGATAATTAGTTTCTCTTTCTTCACTTGCAATGTGTTTTGAGCGTGTATTACTTTTTAATATGATAGAGAAAAATAAAGAATGAAAAACAAAGTCACACCTGATGATGATAATAATTATGAGTCTGAGTTGTTTGCCAATAACAACGAAGACACCTTAGATCACACACACCTATTAGAGAAAGAGATGACAGAAGAAAAGATAACATGATTGTTAGAAAAGAAATGATCGGTGAATCAAAGTAGAAGAGAAATAGTTTGATCAATGAGAGAAAATAAGAGATGAGTGCATACCTGCACGAGCGTAGCGAGTGATTTAGTTTAGGAATAAATTTTTATGTTGGAAGGACACGCGAGAGATAATCTGAAAGTAGTGAAACAAACAAGGAAGAAATAGTTAAAGAGAAAAAATAGTGTTAGTCCTGATTTCGAAGTTTTGATGAGGTTTCTGACGATATGGGTTGTGACTTACTAGTTTCTCTTTCTTCACTTGCAATGTGTTTTGAGCGTGTGAAGAAAGGGAAACTAGCGTTTGCGGTTGCGGGCGGTGGTTTTATGGGTGAATCGAGGGATGGATTAGGTTAGGTCTAGTGTTCTGAGGAGAGTGAAAATTGCGCTTGAGTTTTTGCATGACTGCGTATCCTGTATACGCAGTTGTGCAAACTCGTATTCTAACAGGCTCCCTCAATTTGAACGGTATTGGATAGGCCAATCATGTCTCTGAACTTGGCGAAAGGCTTTTTCCCGAGATTTTTGGTAAAGATGTCCGCAATCATGTTTGAGGTATACGCATGCTTCATCTTGAATGTTCCATTGTGCACGTGTTTGCGAATCCAATGGTGCTCGATGGCAACATGTTTCACTCGTCCGTGATGAACGGGATCTTCAGCCAGGTGAATTGCGCTAAGGTTGTCGCATACCAGTTCGAGGGGCACGGGAACTGTCATACAGAGTTCTTTCATGAGCTTGATGAGCCAAAGTGCCTCCTGGCCCGCCTCGGTGATGGCGCGGTATTCCGCTTCCGTGGACGACAGAGCCACTGTTTGTTGAAGTCGGCTTCTCCAGCTGATAGCTCCTCCCATGAGTTTGAAGATGTATCCAGTTGTTGACCGGAGTGTGGACTTGTCCCCCGCCCAATCTGCGTCGCTTGCACATTCTGGAAAGTTCCAACTAGGATTTGCGTTCAGGATCTCTTCTGGCCGGTGTTTGTAGCGAATACTGAAAGAGCTGGTGGCCTTAAGGTACCGGAGAACATGGAGGAAGGCATCCCAATGTTTTTGGTTTGGTTTTTCAAGAAACCGGGATAAGACACCAACCGCAAAACTGATGTCTGGGCGAGTACAGATAGCAATATACATGAGAGAACCAATCGCACTCCTGTATCTGGTGTTAAGTTTCACGAAGTTTTCGTGCTCTTCGTCAGTTGATTTGACCAGTTTGATGTTGTATCCGAAGGGGGTGCAAGCTGGCCTGCAATTTGCCATATTGAATTTTTCGATGACGTTCTGGATCATTCCGTGCTGATGGAGGGTGTAATCGCCGTTTTCTTGGCGTTCCAATTCAAGGCCGATCACGAATTTTGCAACACCGAGGTCTTCCATTGCCCATTTCGACTTGATCTCATTCTTGACTTTGTCGATTTCGTCGCCAGTGATGATCATGTCATCAACGTGTAGGTATAGGGATGCTTCGCTTCCCGGAAGAGTTTCGGAAAAATACGCAGGAATCGGCGTTGGTCTTTACAAAACCAAATTTTTGTCAAGTGCTTTTCTACCTCGATGTGCCACAAACGTGCTGATTGTTTTAGGCCGTAGATTGATTTGTGCAGCTTCCAGACTTTCCCTTTTCCGCCAACTTCGAAACCTTCCGGCTGCTCCAGGTAGATCTCTTCGTCCAACGGGCTATTCAGGAATGCGGCAACGGCATCCATTTGTTCCACAATCCAACCCATCTGAGCGGCAAGGGCGATGATCAGGCGTAAGGACGCTGGTCTTCCAGTGGGTGAGAAAATTTTGTCGAAGTCTACGCCTTCTTCCTGAGTGAAACCTTTTGCTACGTATCGGGCTTTGTATTTCGATATCTCCCCGTCAGGGAGGATCTTGACCTTGAATACCCATCGACCGCGGATGATTTTTCGTCCGGCTGGGCGTTCGACCAGAGTGAATACGTGAAGTTTCTCAAAGCCGTCAATCTCCTTCTGGCAAGCTTCTGTCCATCTATCCTTGTACTTTGATTTAAGTATGTCTCGAAACATTCGAGGCTCGTACTTTGGATCAAGGATTGCGACGTTGAAGCATTGGCCTCTTTCGGTTTGATATGATCGTTTGGGGAGCTGACTGATTCTGGTTGATCTTCTTACGTAATTCGGATGATCCGGATGATTTTGGGGTGGTTTTGGAGGAATCACTTTTAGCCGGATTTGTTTATCTTCGTCAATTGGGTTTGGGGTCTCTTCCTCATCCGAGATATCTTCTGATGATTTGTCGTCCAGGAGTGCCGGCTGATCTGGTGTAATTTCAGTTTGTTCATTCTCTTCCTCATCCTGACTGATTATGAAGTCTTCAGACGGCTCGTCTCCTTTCTCAGGAAAACATGTTTCGTCAAATGAGACGTCGTGGACGTTGATTATCTTGTGGCTTTCATAGTCGAAAACTAGATAATTGCGGTTGAATTCATCAAAGCCGACCAAGATTCCCTTTCGGGATGTATCACTGAATTTGCTCTCTCGTTCTTCCGATCTGTTATGAATGTATGTCAGACATCCGAAAGTGCGAACATATTCAACGTTGGGCTTGTGATGGTACCAGAGCTCGTATGGTGACTCCATGAGACCGTTTCTTGCTCGATTAAACATCCGATTTTGAACAAACACGGCAGCGCGCATGCCAAACTCCAGAATCTAGTTGGCACTCCGCTGAACAATAGGAATGATCTAGCTTTTGTCGCTATGGTTCTCATG